CACACACACACACACACACACACACACAAGCTGCTTCTAATAAACCTACTTTATTTCAAAGAAGGGGCACAAAGTGAGAGGGGGACTGGATCGCAGGGGTGGAGGCAGGAGTGTCTCTCGTTAGCTGGTTAGCAGCAGGAGTAACAAGGACCATGTGAGGAGAGAAAGTGGGGAGAAAAGGTAGCACAGATGGGGGAGGCAAAGAGGTTGGAAGGGCTGGTTTGGTACATTACATCCTCCCTCCCTCCTTCTTTCCCAGAGACGTCCTCAAATGTTCTTCCCAAAAAACAAAAGAAACAGTCTGTCATCCTTTCCTCGCCTCTTGCTTTCTGTCTCAGTCTTTCCTTGTCACAGTCTCCTATTTTTTTTACTCCTGTCTCCTCCCTCCATCTGTTACCTCTCTCTCATAATGTCTATTTATTTGAACATGGAGCTGTGAGGACACATGGAGACCTAGAACCAACACCACGTGCTGACGTTACAGCTCAGCTCAGCCTGCTGCTGTAGCTGTAGCCTAAAAAAAAGAGAGACTTTACGTGATGTTTTATATCCGACATTTTACATAAGCCCCTCACACACCAGAGTACTCCTAAGGAATTATGCTGACCACCTGGGTGGAGACCTGCCAAAATACGATGCTTTGTTTAGTTTCAGGGGGAAAAATGCATCAGTGCATGCAGAAAACTCCACGTTTTTGCACACCCTTTTCCACATATATGCGTTGAAACGTTATTTGCACCATCTTGCAAAATCAGCACACGACTGTTTTATTGGTGGTGCCGCTTGTCACGGGGAAAACCCTCGCCATGGTCTGGCAAACGCATACACACATGGACACACTCCACCTCCAGACACTAATAATAACTTTAGTAGTACTGGTGCCAGGATGTTTTGATTAGTGTGTGCGTGTGTGCACGCATGCATGTGTGTGTGCTCTTAGAAGCCTTCTGGTCTGTATTACCACAGGACATGCCAGTTCTTTGAATTAGGCTGCTCTAAAGCTTAAAGCTTCCCAAAGCAGAGTGAAAGTGAGGGGGATGAGCCACAAATTGAGGAAAAAAAAATGGTTGTAAAGAAACATTGTGTATATGAATGTAAAACACTGGATTTTATAGACTTGTAACGCTTGTGATAGCCGTGCATTGGTATGATCAAATCCATATTTTTACACAAGCATGTGACAACCGCAGTCTCACATTGACAATAGTACAAAGGCACAAATGGCTTGATTTCATTTGATTTTTTAGTGCCTGTATTAACTTTGGGTGCCCTTTTTCTTTTGTGTATGTGTGTGTGTGTGTTCAGTCACTGCGCATGTGTGTGTCTGCCCGGGTTTCCCTGCTCGTGCTGTAAAGCTGCCAGAAAGCCAGACTCTCCTGGTGATCCCAGCTGTAAACATCCTGGGGGGAAACAGCAGACCGCTGCTTTCAGCACACTCATAGTAACATGTCTGCTTTAATGGTGAGCGTGTGTGTGTGTGTGTGCATGCACATGGCCTTTTGCTTTGTGCGTTACGGGTGTGTGTATGTGTGTATATATATAAATGCATATATACTTGTGTGTTTGGTGGCAGGGCTGTAAATGGAAACAGGTTGGTTTTGTGGTGTTCATTCCTGAAGACGATGCTCTGTGATGAGGCACCGTGTGAACGTTTCTTTTGCTTTGGTGTGTTTGCGAGGGAGTGGGGATTCGAAACGGTACACTGCGGGTTTGCTTTATCAAAGACAGGCAGGCCCGAAGGTAAACTGTGGTCCCAGAGAAGAAGTAGAAGCAAGTGGAGGGGGGTAGCTAAACTTGTAACTTTTCACATGACATCACCTACAAACACTAAAACCCACAATTTTCTGTCTTTTTTTGGCGGGAGAGCTATATAAAAAAGCAACAAAAAAAGAAAGCCAACCCAAAAACAAAACGGTGAACAGACAATGATAGAGTGGCTGCTCTTTCAACATTTCTGTCTGGTGGCTTCCTGCCTCTCTGCACATTACATGGTCATTTGAGGTAAAGCGGCCGCAAGCTGATGCAGGGAAAGCAAGAGGCATAATTGTACATTTTCATTATGAGTGCAGTGTGACGCTGGAGGTTTACTGTGCGCTTTAGTTATCTTTTTGGTTGTTTTTTTTTTTTTTTCCTGTGTGGCTGAACGTTTCTGGTTTCAGCTTTTGGTTGCATAGGAAAATAAACAACATGTTAAAAATGTCTCGCAACCATCACTTATATCTATATGCCTGTGGTGTTTATTTACTTTTTGTGGAGCCCGTATATGTGTGATAAGTTGCTCAAGAAAAAAAGAAAAACAACAACATTGAAAACTTAAGCCTCTTTATTGTGACGATTTTTAAATATTTTTCACAAGCTGAGTCCCAGAGTGAGGTCTTGGTTACACAAACATCATATAGCTTAATAAGAGTACAACCTGATGGGTCTGCTTTCAAAATTTTAGGACTTCTCCATCACTCATAAATCCATCCTGGGCGAGGGCTAGGCCTTCTGCGGTGGAGCCTTTGGGTGCTTTATTTAGGCTCGTGCCCGGGCTGGTCCAGATGGACGAGGGGTGGTGCAGCTGCGTGTTCCCACAGCCTGATGTGCTTGTGCCTGCTGAATGCCCTTTGGGGTGCTCTCACTTTTTTTTTTTACCCCCCCATCCTGCTTTTTTTAGGCAGTCGTCCTGTGCTTCCCCGGCCAGCCTAACCAATGTGCAGACTACTGTACAACCACTACTTCCTGAACAGGTAGTCTGAACACTGGGCAGGCGGGCCGGGCGGCTGAAGGGTAGCGCTGTGGAGGACTCTTTACTCATGTGCTCAGAATCAGAATCAGATATATCACCACACACACTCTTAATCGTACTCACTGTGATTGCAGCCAGGCTCCGGGGCCTGGCTTATCTTCGCAGTCTGACTGCCGCAAAGGGCCGATCGGAGATGATTGAGTGAGCTGGGATGGAAGGGATGGAGGAGGAGGTGGTGGTGGTGGAGGAGGAGGAGGAGCGGGAGAGGTTAGACGGAGGTGATAGGCGCTGATTGGCAGATTCTGTGACATTCCTTCCTGTTTCCCGCTGTGAAAAGCAACATTCCTCACCAAGCTCTATGGGGGAAACACAAACACACAGAAAGTGTTTAATTAATGTTAAATATCAAATATAACACATTTAGAAGTAATAAATCTGTTATATGTAGCCAATGAGCTTTAATTACTCATCGGCTAATTATATGCTTTTTAATCTGAGAATTTTGGTCTTAAATATTAATGTAACAAAGTAACTAGTATTTCTTTGCAAGAATTCTGCATTTAGAAAAGATTAAAGCCCAGCACAGATGCCAAAACACACAAAAATGGTCAACCTATTTAGCCCAAATTAGTGCAGCCTAAGCCCCATTTAGTTCCCTTAAAATTTCAGGCCAAACCGAACAAAAGTCATTAGAGTTTCAAGTAGTTATGGTTAAAAACAGCTGCAAGTGCAAGTGTTGTTAATCTCCCTGGAACAGATCTTATCAGATAATATTTGTGGTCAGCCGAAATCCTCCCAACCCAACACCTCCCTCTAAAACGCCGGAGTATGCAACCTTTCGTCTCCTTAGACATGCGCCGAATGGAAAGAAAGAAAGAAAGAGGGGGATACCTGCGTCTTGGCGATCTCGTTTCGCTTCTTTGCATCTTTCTGCATTAGGTGATGCTTCTTCTTCCCCAAATCCTTGCTGAATTTGCCTGTTCTTTCATTCAGCGCTGCTGCCACACTGCTGAGGGAAACCTTTGCTGATTGGGGTTCAAATGCTCCTAGAGCAAAAAAGGAAAAAAAAGAAAAGAAAAAGACAAAGGGGGATCTCCGGTAGCAGGCAAGGTGGACTGGCTGGAGGTTCGACGTGGCAAGGGACTGGCCACCAAGTTCTCCCTTTGAGAGACAGAAGGAGAAAAGGAGTGAGAGAGAGAGAAAGGAGATATGGAGAGAGAAAGAGGAGGAGCTCGCCGGCCCCCTATTTTTCCTTTCTCCTCTCTTCTTTCTCTCTCCACTCCCTCTGTCTGGCTCACCCCTCCTTTTCCAGTCTCCCTCTTCTGGCTTGCAGGGAGAAAGTGGAAGGTCAGAGGTGAACAGGAAGTGAGACACATTCATTTGGCCTGCGTGTTGTAAAAGTTTGGAAAGGGAGTGAAGGACTGGCTGCAGAGGGAGGGAGCCTTTTAGTGGAAGCGTATGTGGACGCGTTTGCGCTCTCACATGGAGGCATTTATGTGTTTCACAAAGCATTTGCATGTTCTCAATGCAGTGCATCCCTGCTTTTGATACATGTGAGCATACATATATAAATATATATATTATGAGTATGAGTGATGGATTTGTGCATGTAGGAGTGAGCCTGGATGAGAGGAGAGGCTCCGTAGTCTTTGTAGAAAGGGGCAGGAATGTCGGCGTTTTCTTGGCAAGCGGGAGGAAGCCTTGTAATAACTCCAGATGTGCAGCCCTGTGGTCTCCATCTCTCTCTTGCTCCTTCTGTTTTTATTTCTAAAGCTGATTTCCTCTCCCTGTCCGACTCGAATAAAGAGCCCTTTATGCAGCTCTGCAGCCTTCCCAGCACACACACACAGAGTGGTGGCAAGGGGGGTGGGTTGGTTGCTGCTTGGAAGGGTGACATACGACTGGTAAATCAGAACCAGGGCGAAAGACATGTGTGCGTGTGTGTGTGTGTGTGTGTGTGTGTGCAAAAGAGGAGGGAAAAGGCAGTGTTGAGACACAACCAGTCAAAAGTTCCTCCTTTACTTTCTAGGGCTTCACACGCACTCACAGTTAGGTTTGGTCCTTACTTCTAGCAGACAGGAGTAATTAGTGCTAGTGTTTCCAGGTGTGTGTGTGTGTGTGTAGTAGTACGTGTGCAGTGTAGTGGTGGCCAAGGCCATGTGTTTGTTTTAGCTGCGGTTTCTGAGCTCCGACCTGAGCTCCAAATCAAAGCAGGCACGATCCCACGAGAGACGAGTCAGCAGTACCGCTTGGACGGCTAGAAAAAATGGGGAAGAACTTCAAAATGGGGGGCGAAACGATGCCCCATGAACAAGGAGGTCAAAAAAAAAAAAGAAAAAAAAAAAGAACCTAGCAAGCCAGAAAAAGAGAATTACAGAAACCAATCCTCATAAGACATAAAATGGATTAGTGTTGCAGTCGAGTTTAGGGTTTGGAGGATTGGAAAGAGTGAATTTTAATGGGTAGGTGGGGGAAATGCTGCGGTCGCGCTAACATTGTTTCCACTGTTTGGATGACCAGGCAGACAGCTTACTTTTCAGACTCTTAGTCAGGGAAGCCAGAAATGCTGAGAAAGTATGCACATACACGCGCGTGATCTGCGCTCCCATGTTATTCCGTCTTGCCGTGAAATACAGCTGCTTAATACTGTCACAGAAAAACCTCAAGGTTCTGACTTTGTTTTTCCTGCTTTGACAGCAGCTCCGCCAGTTCGTGGGCGAAACTGTGTCTTTCGTGCGTTGCGTGTGGGGAAGATAAGATTGCGGGTGTTGCTCTGTAAATTTATTTAAGAGAGAGCGCTCTGTACGAAATTGTGGAAGCAGCCTGTAAATCTGAACGTCTGAATGTGTTTTAATGTGCGTGTTTCTGTGAAACATTGCAGCTCATTTTCTATCTAGAGACAAACAGCCATAATTCTTGGGTAACTCGGTTATTTTTCCTTTCTCTCACGTGATATTGTATCAGCGATACTTATCTGTTGAAAGGAGCATATTTAAAAAGACAGTGGCTTGAGGAAAGGGCTCAGGAAACACTGGGAGCCTCATCCGTCTCATTTATCCAGCTCAGGGTTGCTGGGAGGCTGGAGCCCGACCACGCCGACAGCGGGTGAGGCCATGAAGACCCTTAACAGGCCACCAGTCCATCACAGGGCCAAAAAAACAGAGAGACGGACACATTTTAGAAGCGCCAGTTGACCGAACAAGCATTTCTTTGGACAGAGAGAACCCATGCAAAAAAGGCCTAGGCCACCAGCGCGAACTGCTTCATCACCGTGCCACACTAAGTAACTGAAATATTTGTGGGAAGGTGCTTTTTGGCGTTAGATGGGAAAATCTATACCACTTATACTGGTTTCATGAATGTGAATCTAGCGGCAGCTAACAAACAGCCAACCTGAATCTGAAAATGCTCTCTACAGTCATTAATTAATGTGCCATTTGTTTGTGTTTAATAACTTTTATGAAGGGTTGTGTACCCATTTGATCTTTTCAAATCAAGAAGCACATAGATTTTCCAAAACAGCATTTAAAATGTACAGAAGAAATTTTATCCATCCATCGTCTTAACTTATCAACCCTGTCCCAGAGTACACCCTTCAGAGGTCACTACCACTCTGATTATAAAGCTGGGTTTTTTATACATATACAATAAAGTCTAAGTCACTCTTAAGTGCCATCTGTACCTCCTTAGACAGATTACAGATTTTGTGGAAGCAGAGAAAGACAGCATGCCCCCTGAGCCTTATCTTAAATAGCGTCATCAGTTTTTATCTGATAAAATATCAGAGGCTGAGAGATAGAGACACAAAAAAAGAATGTGGTGACATGATTAAGGGGTGATAAATGTCTGTTTGAGATATTAAACATACTTAAGTTAATTAAAGTGAGCGCAGGATGATGTAGCAAGGAAAGTCAGAAAGGCTGTAAGAATGATAAAATCTGTCATGAATGGAAAAGAAGATTTGAGATTATAGAAATGAAGGGTGAGGGACACAGACTGGTTTGTTCATATATTTAGTTTATGATATGATAATGTTGATGATGTTCCTCTTTTGGAAACATGGAGCATAGTGTGAGAACAAAAATGACTACATGAAACAAAGTATACGGGTGACTCCAACCAAATCTGTGTATGCTAGGATCCAAGTGACCACAACATAACTCACTAAGCGATAAATTTGTTTGTTTAGAGTTAAATTAAAGTGAGCTTCAGGTTCAAGGTTGGGGTTGGGCTGTCAGTAGGTACAGGGTGAGGCAAAGTTTCTAGGCAATTAATATAATTGGAGGTAATGGCCGCTGATGTGATGGAAACACAGCTGTGTATGTGTATCTGCGTGGCAATTTTATTGACGTTTAAAAATGTATAAAACATACATTTTTGCTATTTCTGTGACTGTTTTACACATTATAAAATAAAGTGCATTTCTCCAATGATGTATGGATATTTATAATTATAGTTTTTTTTTTAAATTTCGTGCGTTTTTATTTCTTTGACTTTTAGCCTGACACAGCTTTAATGCTCATGAAGTTTCACGAGACTGAATTTACTGCAAATGTATGTGGGTCAGTGCCAAGTTAAAAATTTTTATAAAAGCATTCACAGTGTTTCCCCCGTATTCTGACATCACGTGTTTACCTTAAGGTACATAATCCTTACATGAAAAACATGCGTGAACACTGGCAGACGATTGCGTGCCTCATTTGCTTGTGAGGGAACTCGGGTTTCATGTCATTTAGCTGTGATTGGTTTGTACTGGGAGTTTTGCTGTGAGACACAAAACACACCAGCTAAACATTTGCCCTCCACCAGACAAGATGTGTGGATTTTAGCGTGTGTTTATATAGTTAGTCTGCTGGCCAACCTTTCTTTTACGCTTTGGTGGTCAACGGTGATTGATCACATGTCCTTGATAGCCCCGAGGTTGTAACAGTGACCTTCTGCAGGAGTAAATTCAGGGCAGATAATTGACTGTTTAGCAATTAACCACTAAACAGGAAGGTATCACTAACCTGCCAGGCTGCGTTCAACTGCAGTCAGCATGTTTCATCTCTCCACAAAGACATTTGTTCACATTTGTGCAGTTCCCACAGGAAAATCTCAAAGCAAAGCTCAAAGGCTGTTGGGGGTTTTTTTCTGTAAGAAGGAATGAAAAAAGATAATCGAAGGAGCCAAAACCTTGTCATAAAAAAGAAAATGTGAGAATTAACGTTCATATCGCTGCGAAATTGGACGTTTCAGATTAGATTTGAGTTCCTGAATCATGTGCAGCTGACATGCTGTTATCAAAAAGGCACTTTTGCGTGATAAATGGAAGATTATAGAGTGTGGGCCCTGGCACGTTGCTCAAGGTGATTTGTTAAGAGCATTATTGCGCAATCTTTAGCCAGATGAGTCATGAACAGCTGTGTGTTTTTACACACTGCCCCAGAATAGCTCCAATCCAGCTCTTCAGCGTTGTAATTCTCTTAGCTAAATCATTGTCTGTTCCTCATTTAAATATTGGCAACATGTAGCCTTACTTTAAATAAAGTCCAAACAGCATTAGGTCAAATTAAGTTTCCTCAGATGCCGTCTCTGTTTCTCACATGTTGCTCACAGACCAAACATGGCTTTTGCGTACGTTAGTGGGTTTTTTCGTTACACACAACGAAAAGATGCTCATGTTCACAAACAAATCTTTTCTACAAGAACGTTGTGACAAATCTGTTCCTACAAAAATCTATAAATTGATAAAATTGGTCTGAACAAGTGCATCAAACCCACTGAGCCTCACTCTATACTACTTTCTCCGTGCACCTTTTTTAAAAGAAGTCCCCTCTGTGTTTAATTTTTTTTCTTCCTAAAGACAGAAGTCAATAAGGAAAATGGCAGAAGAATGGAGGGAAAGAAAAGCAGAGGGAGGTGAGGAGGAGGGTTGTGAAAATTACCATTGGCTGCCACCCAGGGCCCAGTCTTTGTGGTAATGAAGGGTTAGAAGCAACGTTATTGCTCCCAGATGCCGTGCGGCTTCTCCGCAGGCCTTTGATGCATGGCCCAAATCACCAGGATTTTTCTATCAGACTCCCATCAACATACACAGTAACGCACCACCGCACACACGTGCACGCACACATACGAAGACATCCAGCCTCTTAAAACAACATGGATGCTGTAAACGAGTATCTTCATGGTTTCGCCAACCAAACTACTCCGATTTGTTTCAGAGTGTTAATTGGTTAATGTTCCCATGTATGTGTGTGTTTTGGTGTTTACCACCTCCACGTGTGTGTGTGTGTGTGAGAGAGAGAGAGAAATGCCCATATTCGAACGTTTTATGTGTTTGACTCTTTTAGATATTTTTTGGGATGGCGTACGGAGTGGTGAAGTTCCTTTACGAATCCAGAAGTGAACTTCCCCTGACTCTCTATAATGAGCCTGCTCTTACACACTAGCAAAACAAAACCATGAAAAGCACTTTGTTCACACACTGCTCCAAATACCAACTACTAAGTGCCCCGCCTGTAGTGCGTGTGTATGTGGTGAGGGTGTTCGGACGAAAAAAAAACCCATAAAAAACCCCCAACAAGGATCACACCTGTGTTTTGTGTACAAGTGAAAAAATGTAAAAGTGTTTTAAAAAAAATCAAACTAAACCTAAAAAGGTGTATTTTTGCAGCTCAGTCTGGTGGTAATCAGCCTCTGCTACTTCTGCTTTGATGCCAATACAATTACAATCAATCTAAAGAGTAATGGAAACTCTGTGGAATATTAATTAAGTAATGACAGATGGATTTAGTCAAACACTGTGAATAATTTTCTCAAAGCACCTGCCTAAAAAACGTCCCATATAATAAGCAGATGGGATTAGCTTTAACCCGAACACATTTTACGCCCGTCTGTTTTTTAACATAGGATAACCTGATAAAAATGAACAATGTAACCATTATGAAGGAAGGATTTACCCAATTGTGCCCAATAAAAAAGCAAACTAATCATGTGCTTCAAGTTAATTTGCACAACCTGTGCACAGAAGGCGTTTCCTATTTTATATGATGCAAAAAATTATTAGTCTGTACCAGTTAGCGCTTAATACAGCTTTTTTAATAGAGCGACTACTACGACTTATTAGAAGTTTCACTCTAAAGATCTTTCATGAGGATAACTTATGGTTCACTATGAAAGATGAGACCACGGATGCTCATCTAGAGCTGAAATCCTGCTTAGCAGCTATCAAAATCAGGAACTTTGTGTCCAAGTGAGCCCAAATGACCTGTTGATGAATGTGTGTGT